TTGACAGAGCTTGAAGAATTTTGAAAATAAGATTGGGCAAATGTTGCACAATCCAGGTGTGGATAGCTCATAGGGCCCGATAGCGACCCGAGTTAAGTGTGCGTAATGCTGCGTTTAGATGGTACGAGGTAGACGGCAAACCGGATGTCATTGTTTTCAATGAGAGCAAGATGGTAAATGTCGGTAAATATAGTTGAGGCTGGTGGTGAATGCAGTCAGCCACCACGGTAGATGGGACTTGGCGCCAGAGTTAAAATATTTCCACTTTTTCCATCTGCCATAGAGTTGTTTTCTACCGGATGTTTGTTTACTGAAATCACCATAGCAACACATACTGTGTGGTGCTGTCTTGCTTTTGCTGTCACCATCTTTCTTGCTTTCTTGTCCCGCTATGCCGACTGGTATCAAGTTTTTTGTATCCCTCCTCTAAATGCAGCATAAATGGAACAATTCCCTTTTATGCACTTTTCTCTCTATTCGTATTCTGACCTTGAACTTAAGCATGAGAATTGTATGCTATTCACCTGCTATTCGTTTTGGGTGGAGATCAAATAAATGAAGGTGTGGCGGAGGTGTGTCTACAGATACGCCGTATTCTGACCTTGACTTAATTCCCAAATAATTCTATCACCTTTACACGCAAGGAAATCATGAATAAGGTCTAGCAAACCTACCGGTTCCAAGTGGAAAAAAACATCTACTTTATTTTTTCCGATAGAAATAACACCATTCTCCTTGCACTGTAATTTACAAAATAATAAGAGCTATATAAATTAAGAATCCATTTTGATAAGGGAATTGTAAATATAAATGACACTTGTTTTAGTTATATTTTACCTTATAATCGCTGGAGACAAATGTGAAACCAGTCACTTGGCAGCAAACTGAAGCATATCAACATGCCAACTTTGCCACAGTAAAGTTTATGAAATGCTGTGCCGTTATGCAGAATTTAAATTGTACGGCCTTTTAACTTGCAGGGATCAGCACTCTCGAATGTCTTAATTATAGGCTACACCAACTTTCTGTTTCCTATTTCTATTATGTTAAATATTAGCAACTATCAGTATCGACTGTCAGTAGGCCTAATAACAACACATATTCAACTGCCAATTTACTGTTAGTTCCCTTCAGTTGGTATAGCCTACATTACCATTCCATTTAATTACATTGTTTTGTTTACCTTCATGTTCGGTACTGTCTAGTGATGGGGGAAAAATCGATACAGATACATATCACAATATTATTTTGGATGATATTATATTGATACTTTGACTCCAAGTATTGATTTGTAAGAAATTAAAATGAAAATAACTCTGGTATTTTGCATCCTATAGCTTGTTCTCCATCTTCTTTTGAAAATAGTGAGCCAACATGTTTTCAGCACTTTTATTTCCATGATCAAAACTCATTTTCTCATGCTCTCTCGTGTCTCTCTGCAGCAGACATATAGTGAGCAATATGTTTGGAACATCAAATCGCAATAACATCGCAGTATCGATTCCCAATACATATAGAATCATGAGAATCGCAATACATACCATATCGGCACTTAAGTATCATGAAAATATTGCATTATGAGGTCCCTGGCAATTCCCAGCCCTAGTAGGGTAGAGTGCGTTAATTTTAGTGACTTTTCTTTTTACATTCCGTCAAGGAAAATATAGTATTCTTTCTAACAAAAATATTTACATATATATCAGGATGTTATGTATTCCTGGAAATAATCAGAATTAATGTAAACATTAGAGTTTTGAAAACATAGCTTGTCCAAGAAAGTGGTATCTTGGCACAACTTACTCTGGGTTATTGTAAACTAAGCCTCCTACATATTTCTGTACTGAATGAAATATTTCCACTTACCTTTTTAAAACCATGTCTATCTTTAATTCCCAAACACAATTCAACACAATCACAATAACGTTGTTGTATTTTAATCATTTTAACAATCTTTTAGCACAGGCTTAACACCTAACAAACACTTTTCTTTTTTTTAACACTGTTAACATAGGCCAGGCCCTGTTCTTACCTCATATCACAGCGATAATGCCTTGCATTACACCTGGGAAGAAAACACTTAAATTTGCTCAACTTGCCATTGGCTCAACTTACTCCAAGACAAACATTTGGACTATATTAGCCCATAAAGCTACAGGGATGCACTTTCATGCTAGGTTTAGGGCCTCATATTGAAGCTTATAGAGACCCCAACTGATGTATTGAACAATCTTGAAATTATCTACTTTGGTTTAGATACAAGCATCATGAAACCTCTTACAAAATACATGTATATGACTTGGGTGAAAATCCGTTTTTGGACCTAACTTGCTTACCACACTTTTAATGTGGTTTCTTCCTTCACAGACTCCATGAAATGTTGACCTCTTCCTACATTTTAGGTCAAATTATAAACATTTTGTATGGTTTCCTAGAAACAAGGATGGCTCAATTTACCCCTTTTGCTCAACTTACCCCACTTTACCCTACTGCCACCTCATATGAAACATTTGATCTCAAATCCAAAATGCTGGAGTGTAGAGGCACATTTAAAAGATTTTGCTTCACTATCCAAATACATACAGAGAGGAGAGTACATTTTTAGATAATCTAAAAGTGGTCATTGGATATGTTAATAGTTTTCGGGCTGGTTTCACTAACATAGATAGTAAGCAAGGTTATTATAGTAAACAAAAACTGAAAGTAAAAACTACAATTAAAAAAAAATAATTAGTAAACAAAAAAAACAACAACAAAAAACATTTGTAAAACTATACTGAAACTATTACCTTTTACTGCAAAACGAACCAATATAAAATTAAAACCATCATACATTATGTTTAGTTTTAGTTTTTTCTCCTAAACTTCTGGGGGTTTTCAAGCTTTTTTTTCTAATGCTGCCAGTAGATGGCGATGTTTCAAAGAGGCCTAGCTCGTGGATCACTATCACTAGCCATCACTAGCTAACAGGGAAGAAATCCGAGGGCAAGCACAAAGTGTGGTTGGGCCAAGCTAGAGCAGCTTGTGAAGTTGCTGGAGACATTCACAATTCTCACTGACAACTTCAAACTGACAGCCAATCGCTGTCTGATGTGGTGCAGTGCCTTCTCAACCTTCAGGCACACTAGACAAAACAGTTGACACAGGTCCTCTTGAAGTCACTGTATGAGCACTTCGCATGCAGCTTGCCTGATGGACCCAAGTATGTCTCTGGCACCTCGCTCAACAGAGATGGAGCCACTGATGGGAAGCAGAGTCTTTTGTACTTCAGCAAATCAAAGAGTACAGCAGGACCCCAGGAAGATTCCAGAATGATGAATGCAGCAAGCATCTCGACCACAGTGCTTCAGAAATGTAGCTTCCTCACATCGAAGATTGTGTCTGAGGTCACTGCCCCACCCCACCCCCAGGCCCTGGGCCGTACCGTAGTTGGGGTAGAGTTTGGAGTACTGGCGGAAGGACTGGCAGAAGGCAGCCTCCACCTATGTAGGGTTGAGACTGAAACCTGTTGTTCGCTTGGCCTCCTGGCAGTGTGGTCCCCCACAGACCTGCGTACCTTCCGCAGGGTGTTCTTCACAACCAGTGGTGGAAAAAGTACCCAATTGTCATACTTGAGTAAAAGTAAAGATAGCTTAATAGAAAATGACTCAAGTAAAATGGAAAGTCACCCAGTAAAATATTACTTGAATAAAAGTCTGTAAGTATTTGGTTTTAAATATACTTAAGTATCAAAAGTAAAGGTAATGGCTAAAATATAATTAAGTATCAACAGTAAAAATCCTTTCAAATGACTCATACTAAGCAAACCAGACAGCACAATTTTCTTGTTTTCTTAGTTTATGGATAGCCAGGGACACACTCCAACACTCAGACATAATTTATAAAATAAATCAAATTGTATTGATCACATACACGTGTTTAGCAGATGTTATTGCGTGTGTAGCGAAATGCTTGTGCTTCTAGCTCCGACAGTGCAGTAATATCTAACAAGTAATATCTAACAATTTCATAACATATACCCAATACACACAAATCTAAGTAAGGAATGAATTAATAATATATACATATATGGACAAGCGATGTTAGAGCGGCATGGACTAAGATACAGTAGAGTAGTATAGAATACTAAGCGTGTGTTAAGTGAGTCCGCCAGATCAGAGGCAGTAGAGATGACCAGGAATGTTCTCTTGATAAGTACATGAATTGGACAATTTCCCTGCCCTGCTAAGCATTCAAAATGTAACAAGTAACTTTGGGTGTCAGGGAAAATGTAAATGTAAATGTAAAACTGCACATTTTAAAGTGGCCTTTTATTGTCCCCAGCACAAGGTGCACCTGAGTAATGATCATGTTGTTTAATCAACTGCTTGATATGCCACACCTGTCAGGTGGATGGATTATCTTGGCAAAGGAGAAATGCTCACTAAAAGGGATATAAACAAATTTGTGCACACGGGGGGGATCCCCGATAGTACGGGCCTTACTGACGGCGGTCATGTGCAGCAACTAAAACATCCGCATGGAATCTCTTGCTAAGGAAGGAAGGGTTCCATTTGAGAATGCATTACTAGAATGAATGTATTGTTTTTGTGTTAATCCTTTACATAAATGTTTTATATATAATCCAAAATTGGGTTGCAAAATTACACAACAGATTGTTTAGACATGATTTCTGAAATGTGACAAATTGAATTTGTCTTGTGCTTCCATCTAGTGTTGACCTAGAAGTAGTGTAGAGCGCACTGGTATTTCTTGGTTGGTACAGTGTATTTTGATATCATATATCATCACAGTTGGAATATTATTTAATTTATAAGATGAACAGACACATTGATAATTAAACATAAGGCGTCACACATTTTACATTGCCATAAAAAAAGCACATTGCACAAAAATTGCACATGAAATATATCTCAGTCTTTCCACATGTGCATTGATTAACTAAAACCAGTCTATTTTGCGGATGGTGTAGCTTTCGAGGATATCTATTCCCAAGGACATCAAGAGCCAAATGCTTTAGAGGTCAATACCAAGTGTAACCGGTGGGAATCACCAGTGACTACTGCATCTTCCTCTATCTCCTGTCTTCGACGGGCTGTTCCTGTATCCTCCCCTGGCTGTGTGCTCTTGGATTTTCTAGCCTTCCTGGACTGTTGGATGGCCTGTATGACATCAGGGGCAGTCCAGTGTTGGTGGGTCAAGGCGTGCTGTACCGTGAAGGATCCGTCTCGCGTGCGGCGCACTCCTTTACATACTGCCGTGCTGCGGAGCTCCAAGCCCACCTCATGCAGGATTCTGCACAGGTATCGCTGGGTTTCATTCAAACACTGCACCTCTGTGAGGTTGGAGAGAACTGATTAATGTAATGTGACAAGTTGAATTAGCAAACGATTACAGAATATCTAATACATATCTAATGTAACATTTTAAGGTGTCTGTTACAGTTCATTAGTTCAAAAGAGCAATGTGCCAAGTCCTATTGCATGTATGAGTGTTGCCCTGTGTCTCTGTAGCCATGTGTGTAAGCAAGTGTCTATCCAGGAGGGTATTGTACAGTACAGGTGAAAACCCTGAAGAAGGCTTAGTGATGCCGAAACATTGGTGTTTTTTTACCCAATAAATTACTGGGAGTTTAAACATAATGGAGTGTGCGACTCTTTGTTTTTGTAGCTTGCAGTTTATTCACCGTTCGTCAGCACCTCTACACTAAATAATGTTCTCTGGGTGTGCGCCAGCTCATGCTTTTTATTAGAAATTGGAGGAGTTAAAATACTTACTCAAGGTAAAGTGGGGTGGTTGGAAGTGTAATAAACGTAGTTCCCCCTTCACAGCCAGCTTATAGACCTCCTGGGTGCTCATGTCCACCTTAGAGTACCTGCCAGAACAAACACAGTTATCCTACACTTGGTATAGCAAAATTACAAATAAGCTTGAGCTGGCACTGACAACTGACAGGCACTTATATCACTACTGTGGTAAGTAATGGGGTTGAATTGGTACAGGTCTATGGGAATGCTCTAATCACTATATACCGTGGCTAAGTGAGTAGATAGAGTAAGGTGGACAGAGAGGGATAAGAGGTGGACCACAGAACTAGAATGAATGGTAGACATATGTGAGCAAGGCCTTCTGATTGGATCCCTGCATCATGGCCAGGACTTTCTCCAGCTTGTCCAGTGTGATGTGATCTGGAAGACATGTCAAGGGTTGCAAAGCAGTCAAGATAAGATGTTTATAGATTCAGTATTTCTTTCATTAAGGTGGAAGACAAAAAAGAAAGCACTGTAACTAACATATGTGGTCTTCTCTATGAGGTGGCCTGCGTGAGATAAATTGTCTGTGGCCATCCCGAATTCACCCTCCAATGTATAATCCTGAATAAATTAAAAGTTGAACATGAAACGAATCATGGCAATCTCAGCACTGTATCACAATGATGCCATATGGATTTTCCACCTCCAATAACCTGCATACTCTTTTACATGTATCATAAATAGAGATGAAAGCTTACTCTAGTGACATGAGATCTGTAGAGATCAGCCAGAGCCTTGTTTGCTTGGCCAACACCTAGAACTGAGGAGAAACAGATGGCATGATGATGTACATCCTCAAACATCACATGAAAAGTGAAAACATAATCAGTGCAGTAATGCAGGCCCGAAGTGGTTCAAATGAACACATCCCTCAGCAGTACGTTTTTGTTGTTTTTTTGGAAAGGACATGACCGGGCTCTACTAGGGTTGAATAGCAGGAACCGGGTTACTGAGATTTCCTGCCCAAACCCACTCCCATTTCCAGGGTAAAATAATTGCGAGAAATCTGTAAATTATAATAAATTGTTTTTATGAACTGCATGACGTAAAATGGAACAGTTAAATTATATGCAATGTCTAAATCTGTATTCTCTACAGCCTTCTCTCTGCACGATCAATCATCAATGCTCAGGGTGGGGACAGACAGCGCATATCTCAGTATGGGGTGGGGACAGACAGCGCACATCTCAGTATGGAGCGCAGTTCACTATGCATGTATCACCTCATAATGGCAACTTTTTTTCTTGTGACAGGTAGGCCTACATTTGCTGCAGCATAGCTTATGCTGCAGTAATAACACAGTGCATTCGGAAAGTATTCAGACCCCTTGACTTCTTCCACATTTTGTTACGTTACAGCCTTATTCTAAAATTGATTAAATTGTTTTTCCCCCTCATCAATCTAGACACTACCCCATAATGATTTTTTTTCTAATGTATGAAAAATAAAAACGAAAATATTACATTTACATAAATATTCAGACCCTTTACTCAGGACTTTGATGAAGCACCTTTAGCATCGATTACAGCCTCGAGTCTTCTTGGGTATGATGCTACAAGCTTGACACACCTGTATTTGGTGAGTTTCTCCCATTCCTTTCTGTAGATCCTCTCAAGCTCTGTCAGGTTGGATGGGGAGCGTCGCTGCAGGTTCAAGTCCAGGCTCTGGCTTGACCAATCAAGGACATTCAGAGACTTATCCCGAACCCACTCCTGCGTTGTCTTGGCTGTGTGCTTAGGGTCGTTGTCCTGTTGGAAGGTGAACCTTCGCCCCAGTCTGAGGTCCAGATCGCTTTTGAGCAGGTTTTCATCAAGGATCTCTGTACTTTGCTCTGTTCATCTTTGCCTCGATCCTGACTAGTCTCCCAGTCCCTGCCGCTGAAAAACATCACCACAGCTGCCACCACCATGCTTCACCGTAGGGATGGTGCCAGGTTTCCTCCAGACATGACACTTGGCATTCCAGCCAAAGAGTTCAATCTTGGTTTCATCAGACCAGAGAATATTGTTTCTCATGGTCTGAGAGTCTTTAGGTGCCTTTTGGCAAACTCCAAGCGGGCTGTCATATGCCTTTTACTGAGGAGTGGCTTCCGTCTGGCCACTCTACAACAACACAACTGATTAGTTCAAACGCATTAAGAAGGAAAGAAATTCCACAAATTAACATTTAAGAAGGCACACCTGTTAATTGAAATGCATTCCATGTGACTACCTCATGAAGCTGGTTGAGAGAATGCCCCGAGTGTGCAAAGCTGTCATCAAGGCAAAGGGTGTCTATTTGAAGAATCTCAAATACAAAATATATTTTGATTTGTTTAACACTTTTTTGGTTACTACATGATTCCATATGTGTTATTTAAGTTTTTATGTCTTCACTATTATTCTACAATGTAGAAAATAGTAAAAATAAAGAAAAACCCTTGAATGAGTAGGTGTTCTAAAACTTTTGACCGGTAGTGTATATTTCTCATACATTTGAAGTATACTAAAATGTATTTGAATTAGAATTTCTTTATTTCCTTCACAAATAAAGTATATATATATAATTTGTAAGTCGCTCTGGATAAGAGCGTCTGCTAAATGACTTAAATGTAAATGTAAGTATACTTTTACAAATAGACTACTATTCATTAACCACATTTGCTATTGTAATTAGCCATTTAATTTTTTAAATATATTTTCTTTCTTAGTTTTTGTAAAAATAAAAAATATAAATTTAATATTTTTTTTAGGGGGTAGATCAGCTTTAATATTGCAGATCGATTGTAACTTCCATCAATGTAATTGTCTGCATCACTTCCAATCCCCCATATTTTTTTTCTTTCATATATATATATATATATATATATATATATATATACACACACACACAAACTGAGGGAAAAAAGTATTTGATCCCCTGCTGATTTTGTACGTTTGCACACTGACAAAGACATGATCAGTCTATAATTTTAATGGTAGGTTTATTTGAACTGTGAGCGACAGAATAACAACAAAAAAATCCAGAAAAACGCATGTCAAAAATGTTATAAATTGATTTGCATTTTAATGAGGGAAATAAGTATTTGACCCCCTCTCAATCAGAAATATTTCTGGCTCCCAGGTGTCTTTTATACAGGTAATGAGCTGAGATTAGGAGCACACTCTTAAAGGGAATGCTCCTAATCTCAGCTTGTTACCTGTATAAAAGACACCTGTCCACAGAAGCAATCAATCAATCAATCAGATTCCAAACTCTCCACCATGGCCAAGACCAAAGAGCTCTCCAAGGATGTCAGGGACAAGATTGTAGACCTAAACAAGGCTGGAATGGGCTACAAGACCATCGCCAAGCAGCTTGGTGAGAAGGTGACAACAGTTGGTGCGATTATTCGCAAATGGAAGAAACACAAAAGAACTGTCAATCTCCCTCAGCCTGGGGCTCCATTTAAGATCTCACCTCGTGGAGTTGCAATGATCATGAGAACGGTGAGAAATCAGCCCCGAACTGCACATACATACATACACACACACATACACACACACACACAGTGGGGAGAACAAGTATTTGATACACTGCCGATTTTGCAGGTTTTCCTACTTACAAAGCATGTAGAGGTCTGTCATTTTTATCATAGGTACACTTCAACTGTGAGAGACGGAATCTAAAACAAAAATCCAGAAAATCACATTGTATGATTTTTAAGTAATTAATTTGCATTTTATTGCATGACATAAGTATTTGATCACCTACCAACCAGTAAGAATTCCGGCTCTCACAGACCTGTTAGTTTTTCTTTAAGAAGCCCTCCTGTTCTCCACTCATTACCTGTATTAACTGCACCTGTTTGAACTCGTTACCTGTATAAAAGACACCTGTCCACACACTCAATCAAACAGACTCCAACCTCTCCACAATGGCCAAGACCAGAGAGCTGTGTAAGGACATCAGGGATAAAATTGTAGACCTGCACAAGGCTGGGATGGGCTACAGGACAATAGGCAAGCAGCTTGGTGAGAAGGCAACAACTGTTGGCGCAATTATTAGAAAATGGAAGAAGTTCAAGATGACGGTCAATCACCCTCGGTCTGGGGCTCCATGCAAGATCTCACCTCGTGGGGCATCAATGATCATGAGGAAGGTGAGGGATCAGCCCAGAACTACATGGCAGGACCTGGTCAATGACCTGAAGAGAGCTGGGACCACAGTCTCAAAGAAAACCATTAGTAACACACTACGCTGTCATGGATTAAAATCCTGCAGCGCACGCAAGGTCCCCCTGCTCAAGCTAGCGCATGTCCAGGCCCGTCTGAAGTTTGCCAATGACCATCTGGATGATCCAGAGGAGGAATGGGAGAAGGTCATGTGGTCTGATGAGACAAAAATTGAGCTTTTTGGTCTAAACTTCACTCGCCGTGTTTGGAGGAAGAAGAAGGATGAGTACAACCCCAAGAACACCATCCCAACCGTGAAGCATGGAGGTGGAAACATCATTCTTTGGGGATGCTTTTCTGCAAAGGGGACAGGACGACTGCACCGTATTGAGGGGAGGATGGATGGGGCCATGTATCGCGAGATCTTGGCCAAAAACCTCCTTCCCTCAGTAAGAGCATTGAAGATGGGTCGTGGCTAGGTCTTCCAGCATGACAACGACCCGAAACACAGCCAGGGCAACTAAGGAGTGGCTCCGTAAGAAGCATCTCAGGGTCCTGGAGTGGCCTAGCCAGTCTCCAGACCTGAACCCAATAGAAAATCTTTGGAGGGAGCTGAAAGTCCGTATTGCCCAGTGACAGCCCCGAAACCTGAAGGATCTGGAGAAGGTCTGTATGGAGGAGTGGGCCAAAATCCCTGCTGCAGTGTGTGCAAACCTGGTCAAGACCAAGTCAATTACAGACCTCTACATGCTTTGTAAGTAGGAACACCTGCAAAATCAGCAGTGTATCAAATACTTGTTCTCCCCACTGTATATACACATAACCTTTAAAAAAATATATTTCCCTTTATTACTTTCCAACCCCACCACCCCTTCCCTAATTGGAGTAAACTAGTGAACAACAATGCTTAGGCCTCTACTTCCAGCTTATACATACGATATACATTTTATGGACAGTCAATTTTACAATAATTCTATTTAGTTAGTTTTTACTCCTGAACTTCCTCTACCCTCAACCTCTCCGATCATTTTCATGATGTCCATCCGGTTTGCTTCTATATGCCTTATCTTTCGAACTGTGCTCTTTCACAAAAGCTCTCAACCTATAACCTATTTACTTATTATGGACACAGTATGCTTTATATTAGTTATCTTGATGTAAATGTTACTTTGATTGGCCAAGGCATCTTCCCAGCCAATGTTAACACGGTATTTACAAAGCAGTTATGGCTGGAGCAGCAATATATAAGTAAGGTGTCTAATAACTGTGCACCAGTGGGATAAATTAACATTTCAATAAAATATGTAATGTGTAATTAAAAGTACAACATTATTTAGTTTGAAAATGAACATCAATACATTTGAATAAGCTAAATATGAGGAACAATATCATATTATAAATCAAAACCTCAGCTGCAGAAAAGGATGCTGTATAATATGTACATTTTTGGCACGTGTTTTTGAAAGTATACTTTAAATATATTTTGTGGACATTTAAGCTAAACATACTTTTTTGAAAGTATACTTAAGTATATTGTCTTGAGATATTAAAAAGTACACTCATGAAGCATGGTCCTCAGCTCTGCATGTTTCCTTTTGTGGAATAAACAGTCGTTATCATTTTCAAT